ATTTCATAATGAAAAATCGAATTTGTTTTTTTCACCATAATAAGTATTTAGGAAAAAAAATCCTTTTTTAAATTAACTGGTCTCAGGATGATGATAATTTAGGTGATCCTACCTTTTGAAGAAGAACCACAGGAAAAAAAAATATTAACTCTTGCAGTGAGGCCATCCCCCGCTGCAAGGTTTCAGTGCTTGTTTGTGTCTAGGTGCTATAAAATAAAAAGTAATACTCACCAGACCATCCGAGCTAGCTAGTTCTTAGAATATCGTCTATATCACGTACCTGAGGATGAGACCAGAAGACGAGGAGGCGTCTCTTGCGACTCGTATCCTGCGACCCCTGGAGTTTGGAACAAGAGGACGCAGGGCAGCGAGGAGCACGAGTGCCACGGATTGGAAGCAAACACCGTCCAGGAGACTTCATGTAGAGAGGTCAGCAGGCCAAGGATCAAACCGGGCCGGCAGTGTAGGAACAGATTCAAGAACCGGAAGACGTAGTCAAGGAAGCCAAAGGACAGATCCAGCCGGGCAGCGAAGCACAAAATCAGCAGGCTAGAGCAAGTCCAGTGAACAGGCCAAGGTCAGCGGCAGGCAGCAATCAGAAGGGTAGATCAGGGCAATCCAAGTCAAACAGGTCATAGGCAAATCGACAGAGGCACAGGCAACACAAGCTGACAAGACCATCATCAATGTGAAGCAGGCAGGCTCATCCTTATATAGTCACCTAATTGAGGTGACTGCCTCACTTCCTGTGTGCCATCCGTCCGCACCTGCTTCTCGCGCATGAGCATTATGGCATGCTCCCCGAGATTGGGTTTTTGCGCATGCGCGGCACCATTGTGCCCTTACAGTCTAGAACAGAGGTGCCCATTAGGTAGATCGTGATCTACCAGTAGCTCTCAAAGCTGATGCTGGTATATCATGAAGGGTGTGAATGGTGGCCCCTTTATTTCATTTTGGTATATTTATTTAGCTGTGCACACATGATTACCTATTAGCCTGAGTCTGCTGAGCCAAGCTCCCTGACACCTTTCTGGTGGATACTGGTGGTTGAAGTGCTATGTATTACATCAAAGAATATTAGTTTACACAGCCTGTTGCACTACACTGTATGCAAAATACAGCAAGGTGAGCCAGGAGAGAGAGCGAGGAGAGACAGTAAGGAAAGAGAGAGAGGAGATACAGCCAGGAGAGAGAGAGCGAGGGGAGACAGCCAGGAGAGAGAGAGCGAGGAAGGACAGCCAGGAGAGAGAGCAAGGAGAGACAGCCAGGAGAGCGAGGAGAGACAGCCAGGAGAGAGAGCAAGGGAGGTTTTTTTTCCGTTGGTAGATCTCATGTAGCTCGCCAATTGAAAAGTAGATCTTAACACAAAAATTGTGGGCACCCCTGGTCTAGAACATCTCTCCCTCTCTGCTGCAGCAGTCTAAGGATCCTAATGTCATCACTCCCTATACAGTGTGTATAGACGTGAGGATGCCGAGGAGAAGTTAATCTTTGCAGCGGATGAGTAGACACACTTGAGTGATCACAGAGGCAGGGAGCCGGCTCCGATGGTCTGGTAAATATAACTTTTTTAGCAGTGGGGTGGTAGCAAGGTAGCCCCACTACAAGGGTTAGTACGATTTTTAACTGGAGTTCTTCTTTAAGCCAGTAGCAGGAGGATGCTGGGAACTCTTTAACCTTACAAAACCTAACCTAGCCTTACATCCTTTTGTTGTCACATTCTCTTAGCTTCTGTTGACATCCTTTTGATTATCACATTGTGTAAACTTATGAAGAAAAGGGGTTAAATCATCCATCCCAAGGGATAATGCAAACAACCAATATTCACTTTTTTTTTACAGGACACGGAGCCAGTGTTTGAGGAAGAATCTAAACCTATTTATTGCCAGAACTGTCAAAGCATTTCTATCTGCGCGTTCACTCAGAGGTCTCTCTTGGTTGTGTGTGCTAAATATTGGAGGGTAAGATGGGTTTTTGTTTCTTTTCTTTGTTCTTGAAAATGCCGAACTGTTGCCAGCTATACCATGACCGTCATAAATAAGACCTTTCACAGACACGTTGCATTATTACTACTGTTTTGTTTTTTAAACATTGTCTTTTCTTTGAAACTTAAAGTGTATTTTCACTTTTGCAGCCAAATTGTGATCACACCTAATTTATATTTGTTACAGGTTTCTTATTCACGTTGCATAACAAAAAAAAAATAAAAAAGAATATTTGTTTTCTGTACTGAAATACAAAGTTTGCCGGGCAGGTTAATGTTTATATAATTAACCCCATGTGCTGGCAGATCTCAATGGTAAACTAGATGTGAGCACTGGCTGTCTTAAAGGGTTCTGTATTTATCCTCTTCTTTTATATTATCCGATCTGTTTACAAGTGACCAGGGTCACTTTAAAGTAGTACTAAAGGCCATTTGTTTTTACCTTTTTAAAGGAGAACTACGAGGTGAGGGAAAATCACTCATCCTCATAGTTCGAGCCAACGTGTGACAATGAAACTGTCACAGGTCAGCTCTATAGATCGGGAAGTGAGCGAACAAATACCGTCACTCACTCACTTCTCGATCATCTCCCTGCAGAGGGCGGTGACTGTTGGTCTCAGTATGCCGCGAGCTGCAGCTCGCGATATACTGAGCCTGATGATGGGGACCCTGCGAGGCCCCGACAGTACTTGCTATTGAATGACATTGTTTGTCATTAAAATGGACATTTGCTGAATTCAACAGCTTGGTGTGCTGGGGACATCCTTTACAATTTCATATTTTCTCACGGCGCCTCCGTAGTCACTGCGAGCACCCATTCATATATTTTTTTCAAGAAATCTGGTAAGGAGTGCAGCAAGATATATATATATATATATGTATATCTATACTGAGCTTTGGGTGATGGGAGGAGGTTAGTTTATGTCCTCCCGTCACCCTTAAGAGAACTATGGGGAAAAACACTTACCCCACAGTTCTCTTTTAATGCGTTCTCTGCCCCACTACCTCTTTATGTCCCCCCACCTCCAAACACTTACCTATACTTTACAGTCACTGCCGCTGACTCCCAGACGATTTGCGATGATTCCTCTAAGTTCTGGGTTGAGATGAGGGTTCCTAAGGCCAATGAGGGCAGGGCTGCGATAGGCTGCTGCATCTGCCCATCAAGATACTGTGAGGAGGCGGGAACAGGGGCGTGTCTTGTGAAGTGCTGTGTGTGTCGGCGAACGTGCACAGCTCAATTCCTAGCCGGGAGCGTGCACACGCGGGTGTCTCCTTTGCAACCTGCTAGGTAAAGAGACACCTGTGAACAGGAGGGGGAGGAGGGTCAGCGGTATATCAAGTTAAAAAGATAAATGTAATAGGGAAGGAAAAAAAGAAAAGCTACACAAGTACAAGTGGATTTCCTCTGGAGAATTGAAAAAACAAACACATTTAAAACTAAGGTTTAGTATCACTTTAAAGACAACTGTGCCTTTTAATACTTTTTGTCCTTTAATCCCCCCCACCCACTTGTGCAGCCAGCCTGGTAAAATATGTCCTCCCCGTTCCCGCATTGTGTGCCACCACTGTGCATGCGTAATGTGGACTCATTAATTCTTATGGGTGAACTGTACTCATTGCATCATGTTGCCACATTACCCAAAACCATACCATGAGACTGTCATGTTGCACTGCTTCAGTGACAAGAGACTGTTAAAGTATGCTTCCATGCTATAGATTTACTTCCAATTTATAGGAGACTCTATACACTTAATACACAGTTTAAGAAACTGCAGACAGATTTGCAATTCTTGGGATGCCGACATTCCTGCTAGATTGCATAGCCAAATCCTAAACCTCTTTGCAGACCAAAGTTGAGCAGTACAGCCTGTTCTAGGGCTCGCCGTAGCCATTCGTAGGACAAAGGAGCGGATCGCCTGAAGGTACAAGGATAATGCATAATTTACCTACAATTTGGAGCTTCAGATGAGCCCCCATACTGGTTGAAAAGGAAAATGAAAAGCTACTTTAGTGCAAAATGTAATTTTAAATGCTGTCAACAAATGTGATTCCTGTGTCAGCACTTTCTTAGACCTTTGGTTTCTCCTCTAGGTGTTTGATGCAGGAGACTACTCTTTGCTGTGTTCTGTCCCGAGTGAAGATAGTCAGACCTGGACCGGAGGGGATTTTATTTCCGCAGATAAAGTTATCGTCTGGACTGAAGATGGGCAAAGCTTTATTTACAAACTTCCAGCTAGGTGAGTTGCGTAGTTTGCTGACTAGTAAGAGCTGCATTATAACCCTGTTGAGCTTGTCTGACTTGTCCATTATAGTAGGAGTTTGTTGCATGGTGGTAGCCCAGGGTTAAAGAAGAACTCCAAGTAACACTTTTCTTAACCCTTGCAGTGGGGTTACCTCCACAGTGCAAGGGTTAAATGCTCGTTTTGGTCTAAGTGCAAAAATAATGAAGTTCTGTTCATCTGAACCTCGCAGCAAGCTGGCTCTTAGAGCGCACCCTCCAGCCAGTCTCCTCCTCGGGTGCAGCGATGGTGTGTCTCTCAGCGACCTCACGTCCTATAGATGTATAGAATTGGATGGCTCGTGGGATGTAAGCCGCTGGAGCGGAGGAGAGAGGCTAGAAGCATTGGTCTAAGAGTGAGTATACAGCTGGCCATACATCTAGTAGATTATCTGCAGATTCTCTATGGTCAGATGGAAAAAGAGCAGATTCCTCCATCTACGCTAAACTGTGTGTATGGAGGAATCTCCCACTGGGCCAAGCTTCAGTATCTTGCTAGTCGGCCCTGTTGGCTATCAAAATACCTGAACAATGCCTGCAGCCAATCAGATTGTTCTGGTATTTTGAGAGCCAGCAGGGCTGACTAGCAAGATACTGAAGCTTGGCCCAGCGGGAGATTCTTCCATCCACACAATTTAGCGTAGATGGAGGAATCTGTTGCACTCTTCCATCTCATTATCGAAAATCTGCAGATAATCTATAGGTGTATGGCCAGCTTTACTTTGTTATATTTGTATCTAGATGAAAACCAGCACTTAACCCTTGCAGTGCGGGGGTAGCCCCACTGCAAGGGTTAAGAAAGGTTTTGCCTGGGGTTCTTCTTTAAAGCAGGGAAATATACATTATTTCTTTTTATACCTGGATTCACTAGGTCAGACATACTGTAGGTAACCCCTGCACTCCAGTTATGGTGGAACTACAAGTCCCATGAGGCATTGCAAGACTCTGCCAGCCGCAAGCAGGACACCTAGAGGCATGATGACATTTGTAGTTTCACCACAGCTGGAGTGCCAAGGTTGTCTACCCCTGCACTAAGATATGTACAGTTTTACTGACACATTCCAAAGTTGCAAAATTGCTGTCGGCCATTAAGGTTTCTTTTACCTTCAGGCTTTAAGGGGTTAACGGTGCCAGTTGCTTTCTTGGGTAGATAAAATCTCAACAGTGTTGATGTCTTGAAGGTGCTTAAAAGAAGAATTTGTATTGGTCTAGTAACCAATTAGATTCCAGCTTTGTTTAGGAAGACTTTTAATTGTTTGTTTTCGGTAAAATATTGACATCTCTTTCATGCACTCTGGCAGCCCTTGTGTTCTGTGTTGTCTGCTGATGTCAACTTCTTTACTCTCCACTGTATTTCAGCTGTATTCCCGCCAGCGATTCGTTTCGTATTGATGTTGGGAAAGCAGTGGAGAATTCCATTCCACCTTTACTGTACAGTGTCATGCCGAAGGAGGACAAGAAGGTTTGTGTCTGCCTGTGTACTGGAAACATTGGGGCAATCTGATCTACATTTAGGTTTGCCAACCAAAGGCATGGGTACATCTGTGATACTCGTGACAGGTTCCATTTGCTAATCTAGATTCCAGCAGTTTATACCCACCATGTTCCCTTACTAATGTCAGAACATATTCCAGCCAATACCAACATTTTGTTCATATATATTGACATCACATTATTAAATGCCTGTTCCCTTTCAATGTCCACTTTATACCCATCCTATCCCTTTTATAATGCCAACACTCCATATTCCTTCTCTGCCATCAGCTTGACATTCTATGACCTGTGCACAATTCCACACCCACATTATTTTCGCCCTCCACACCTCATTAGAGACACGTGTGGAATTTTTTTTCTCCTCTAGACGCGCAGCTGAATGATACCAGCTAGCTCTGCACCCGGTCTTTGAACCCACATGTACCATCACCATTGCTTGTATGCAGAACTTGTTTGTGGAACCATACAAATGTTGTGTCCAGCGTAAAGAGACATTGTCCCTTTTCCCACACACGGCAAAATAGGGCCCCATTAACACTGTGACTTATGCTGCTTTTGGGGATACCCAGGTGTCCCAGTTCAGATGTGGCCACTGTGGCCATTCTAGTTAATGACGGTGACAGTGGCCGCATCTGTCAGCAGGAGTCCGCATGTAATCATATACAGTAGGATAGGATAGATGCGTCCAGGGACAAACGTCTATCCCGAACTACTATGTAACTATCAAGAAACTTTTGGACGATTTCTTAAGGGACCGCAATATACAGGGGTACAGGTACTCCTAGAATGAGATCCTAATAGGTTGGACTTTAAGGACTAATGTCTTTATTCAACCTCAAATACTATGAACTGGATGTAATTGTACAATGTGTGATTACATGTGGACATGCGGCTGCTGTCACCCTGACATTAACTTGAATGGGCACAGCAGCCACATCTTAACTGAGACACCTGGGGTTCCTGTTGCAAGAATCCTTTAGGTTCTTGCCGCAGGAATCCCCGAATGCAGCATACGTGCCAGTGTGAATGGGTGTTCTTGTAAAACCCCCTCTTACTGGCTAATACTCACCTCTCAAGTGATTCGCCCATCACTCTTTCCTGCAATGCTGCAGGCATCAGAATACTGGTTGTCAACAGATGTCCGAGCCAGGGGCAAGCCATGACATCACCCTCTATCATGTGACAGTGCTTGGGTCTAGCAATTAGCCACAAATCCTGAGCCATACCACATGAGTGGAGGCCATAAGCTCTCCCATTCCCAGAAGCACTGGTATTTTGCACCAGTTATGGTGGAGGAAGGAGAAGGGGGATCACTAAAGAGTTTCAGTGGATCAGTGGGTTTTTTTTTTTTGCCGGGATGGGCAAAGAAAGAATGCACACAGAATATTACTGGATATTGAGTTCTATAGGTATATTAAGCACCAGAGATTGTTGATCCAGGGAGTATCCGATTTGCCTTATGGGATCAGTAAGGAATTGTTTTTTCCCTGTTGGGGCAAATTGAACTATGCCTAATAATAGGGTTTTTTTTTTTTGCCTTCCTCTGGATCAACAGTGGGTGACTGTGGAGTTTTTCTTTTTTTCTCAATGGATGTCTTTTTTTGTTGTCAACCTTACTATATAAAGTGACAGTGTTTCTTCAACCTCCTCAGTGAGTGGCCATTAGCGTGGTCACTTTTTAAGGGGAGTGTTCTTTTTTTAAAGTATTAATTTGCAATATGGCAGGGACTGGAGAGGTTTGACGTTGAAGCTGTAGTCCAGGTTCCAGCATGTGAGCACCTGTCAGACCAAGAGAAAGTCTCAGAGCTGTACACCCCGCGGACCCTGCTTCACTTCCAGACCCCTGAAATCTTAGTAAGAGCGTGCAATAACTGTGTGACACTCCAGACTAATCTCTGTGTAGTGTGCAGTGGTTAATACAGCATGGTGTGATATTTGGGGCTTTCATTAACTGCATGTCCATCACCACTTTCCTCTTTCTCTTCACTGCTGTGCTTGTACTGTGCATGCTCTTGAATTGTGGACTGATACATCTATAGAACAAGTATATAACTAACCTTAGAAAGAATTCTATTACTGCAAGAGCAATTGATGGTTGGAAGGTAGTGGATCAGTCAAAAGTAAGTATCTTTAAAGGATATATATGGGGTGAGTGAAACACTCATCCCCATAATTCAAGCCGACCGGTGACAATGAAGCTGTAACAGGTCGGCTCTATTGATCGGGAAGTGAGCGAACGCATACCGGTGATTGCTGACTTCCCTATCATCTCCCTGCAGAAAACAGTGACTGTCAGTCACGGCTCCCCGCTGGGATTCCCCCTCCCCTCTCTGATTCTCCATTGCTGACTGGAGGAGCGGACGGGGAGGGGCGGGCACAGCTGGCTCTGCCTCTAGATAGGCAGAGCTTGCTGTCAATCACCCAACCCTGCTTTGTTGATTTGACAGTAGCTCGCTGTCAAAACGCCGGCCGTTTACAACGTGTGAAACACAGAGGTGTAGTTAACCGGGGAGAGAGAGGGGGTGGGGGGGTGTTTAAAATCTGGCAGATTTTGTTAAATATTTACAATATGCAAGTTACTTTTGCATGTGGCATCATTTCACTGATGGCTGCTCACAATTGAGACACACCTCCTGCATGTTCCGCAGTGTCCTCCACTGTGTATAGACGTGATGTTTTGCAGGACCTTAGACCACTGCAGAGGAGGAGGAGGGACACGAGAAGGACCGGTCTAAGAAGAATCTGGCTTGGAATTAAATTTTAATTTACTGTAATAAATGTAATTTTAAAAAAAACGAAAAATATTATTTATTAAAAAAAACAAGTATTGAAAGATTTGTGCACTTGTTAAAGTTCTTTAAAATGCCATCTCTTTGGCATGCAAATCTAAATGAAATTAGGGTTGCAACCAACTAATCGATAATGAGAATAGTTGACAACTATTCTCAATATCGATTAGTTGGTTGGATCCCCTAGCTCTCTCCTCTATGATGGGAGGAGGGCACAGAAAGCAGTTGTCATTCCCTGGCTGACGCTATTCACGCGCCATGTGCTTACAATACAATTATTAACCACTTCCGGGCCGCAATACGTACATATGCTGCGGCCCGCAGAAGTGGTGAAACCATATACAGCCGCCAGATTGTGTGTACGGTGCAGCACCCCGGGGTTCCACTGTCCCACGTGCGGGTCCAGGGAGCGGCACGGCGGGTCTCCCTGCAACGATCAGAGAAAGATCATCTCTCCTCCAATCACTGGACCCGGAAGTGATGTGTTTTACATATTTTCTGGTGTCAAGAGAAGAAGCTTGGGATGCGGATCTCTGCTTAATCAGCTTCTTTGGGGTCCCTAGGTGACATTAGGGGTCTGCCAGATGTTTGGCCATCTTGAGTGGCCGATTGGTGACTCAATTAAGTAAATATTTAGATGCTTCATGCAATACTAATAATACAATTGAAATTATTGCTAATAATACCATTCCTATCCAATAATAATACTGTATACAAGGTAACTTTTATAATGAGCTCTTTTTCCTATGATGAGAAAAGGAGAAAAAAAAATATCATAGTCTCTTTTTTGTTCTTTTAAGTTTGAGACATGGCAATTCCATCAATCTCAGTCTAACACAGTCTGGCACCATGGTCAGTCCTTATTTCGTCGCTGTTGTCTGGTACCCCCACAACTTACAACCTGGGAATGTATGTGGTAAGGCTCTGAGAATCGTTGATGTTGGAGTCTTTGTCCAGAAATCATAAACTCACATTCACCTTATGCACTGATAGAATAGACAGAACAAAGATGGCTTCCAGGATGCCCATTATGTAGAATAATATGTATAGGCCTTATAGTTTCTATATTATATTTCTATAAAGTGTGTGTGTGGAAATTTTTATTGTGTGTGTGTGTGTGTGTGGGATATATCAAATGTCTTTTTTTTTCATGTGATCCTTTTACAGTATTAGGGAGACTAATCTATCAAATAAAGATTAGATGAAAAGTATTGTAGTTTTTATTTGGTTTATAAATCGCCCTCTAAAGGTGCCCACACACCTTGCGATAATCGCGGGAAATCCCGCGATCGTACGATTAAGGTGTGTGGAAGGCGTGTGACCTCTGCTACTGTAAGGTCGCAGGACTTTTATCTTATGAACATGTTCGAAAACCCGCCGAGAATTGTACGATTGTCGGCGGGTGTGTGGCATGTTCGCAAGATCAATGCCGCACGGGCCGGTGTGCGCAAGCGCACACTGCCCGTTCAGCATTGCGGTCATCGGAAGCTCGCCCCTCAGCAGGGCGGGCTTGCGATCATCGCAAGTACGATCTGCCTGTCCAAGATAGGCAGATCGTATGTTTTTTTAATTACCTTGCAATCATCGCAAGACAAAAGTCTTGCGATGGTTGTAAGGTGTGTGCCCAGCATTAGAGTGATTTTGGCTTTTGTATTTGGCTTTTCTCTGCATACAAGTCAATGGCAATGAGAAAGCCACTTGAAGCGGGTTGATGTTGGTCAGAAGAATGTCATCATACAGGTCAGATGCACCTGAGGAGACACTCGGATGGAAATTGGAAAAATCTCAAACTGATCTGAAATGCCAAATAGAATTGTCGGAAGGTGTGCTGGATTTGTCCATTGATATTGTTTGCTAAATGCAATCACATAGAGACTTGGGTGTATTCGTATCTTGCCTCCTCCTGCAAGATATTCAGTTTGATATCTTCTGACTATATCTTTGCAGCTGATTATTGTGAAGTTGCCAGGAGTAAATTCAGCTTTCAGTCTGATCATCTGCTTCTCCCTGAGACTCATCCTGTGGCCGTGCATCCACTGATGTAGGTGGGCTTTCTGCCTGGCCTCCTACCATTTCTGTTGCTGGGTGACAAATGCTCCCCATTGATTAATCATTTCACATAGACATTCCTCCACCAGGTAGCCGCAGTTGCCGGCAGGCAATTTTAGCTGCAGCCAATTTGAGATGAAATTGCGTAATTACGTCCCATTAAACCCCACCTGCTCTTTGTTTAGTGATTGCTTCGTTTTAAACAACGTACAGTTATTATGTGTTTTCACAGGATGTGTTACATCATTATTTCCAGCTCCACATTGTCTCTTGAGATTCTGATGTGACTATTTGCAAATTTCTGCAATCATCGCATTGTTCCCAAACAAAATTCTAGTGGGGGAAACATAATAGGCATGAGCAGTTGTCCTGTGCCTGACATGCAGGAAGTAAACAGTGAATCACAGCACCCCCAGGACATGCAGCCCGTGCTGTGACCTGGAGGGGTCAGTAACATAGCACCTGTGTAGGCAGTGTAATTGGCTATCTGTAGGGTTGCTGAAGTTGTTATGGTTTGTCTGCTGATTTTAAAAGGTATTTCCACTTTTGCAGTCAAATATGAGAACCCCCTGCTGTATGTTTGTTATGTGTTCCTATTCACACAGCATGTCTTCCCTTTCTAGTTGTTTGTGGAGCAAGGTTATACATAGGACTCTATAGGCAGCTTCTCTTCCTTAGAATAGATGGCAATGTGAAGATAAGAGACAGACTTGTGGGATGTTTTTTTAATTAAAAGTGCATTAACATACAATGTCGTGATACATTTACTTTTTAGAGATCTGCCAGCACCGTACAGACGGGGTTAATTACGGTAAACATCATTAACTTTTTAGCCCCCTCTTGAACCACTTGTGTCTGGCCGTTTAATTAAACGGCCAGAATGCAGCTTCTTGAATGCGAGTGGGTGTTTTTAAACGTCCTGCCCTGCTTGTGCCTACCGCTAGGCAACACGCACGAACGGAAAATCTGTTTGAAATGTAAACTGCCAGCTGTTTACATAACAAGCGTTCCGGCGGCTATACAGCTGCGTGGTCGCTTGTATTATGCGTGCGGGTGTGCAGCTCTGTACAGGGAGATCAGTACACAATCTCCCTCCGATCTCCTGTCCGGTCTCTAAATGCAGGAAGTGATGTATATTACATCACTTCCGCATTCAGCTGTCATTACCGGCTACAGAAGCTGGGGAGAAGCTGGTGAAGCAGATATTTGCTTCATCAGCTTCTCTGGGTGTCCCTAGGTGACAGTAGGGGTCTTAAAGACCCCTGATATCTCCATAAAGGGGACCTGACACTGTAAATTTGCTATCACATAGGGGGATTGTAAGCCCCCTATGTGATAGCAATAAAGTTAAGTAAAAAAAAAAAATAGTCGCATATTAAAAAACACAAAATGTAGGCTATTCAAAGTCCCCTGCCCCACATACACACGCAAACATGCGTCTGGTGCGAAAATGACGATTGCGCCCATTACGCCGCACATGTTAGATATCACCGCGTTATTCAGAGTGTGAGCAATAATTCTAGAAACATCAATCACTAATAACCCTAAATTAATGGGCAGTAAGATCTTTTAAAGCATCGCCTATGGCAAATTTTGGTTATAGTAGATTTTTGCGATTTTTTTTTTTTTTTTTCACAGGCATGTGCAATTTTATGGCTTGACTTGTTTGGTGTCTACCTGACGTGACCCTGTCTTTAATATTTTATAAAAAATTAGGTAATAAATGTATTGTAGCATAATGTAGGGAAAACAGTATTTTTCTTTTTTCTAAATTTTTGGTATTTTTTTCGTTATATAGTAAAAAATAAAACGCCCCAGTGGTGTTTAAATACCACCAAAAGAAAGCTCTATCTGTCCCCCAAAAATGGTATGATATGTATTTCAGTGCAGCGTTGTGTGACGGAATAAATGTCAGTCAAAGTACCGCAGCGCTGAATACTGAAAAATGGCTTTGCCAGGAAGGGGGTGTAACACCGCGGTCATCAAGGTGTTAAAGTTTCATTAAACTCTCTTGTTTTCAATAATGACCCCGGATCAAACAAATATACATCGCCCAGCAAAGCATTGCTTTACAGTTTTGCACAAAACATTACAATCATCCTGTTTCTGAGCAGCTGCTTTCAAGTCTCTTTGCGATCTTGTACTGGAGAGGAAGTTCAGGGTAGCCGAGCAAAGGACAGAGCAGACTCCAGCAACTGTTCATCTACTAGATAGGTGGAGGGGGGGGAGAGGGGAGAAGTTTGATTTAGTGTGTGTTTGTGTGTAGGACAATTGCAGGTCAAAAGATCTTTTGAAGAAACTCGGATAGGACTTGGCATTTGAGATCAGTTGGGGATACTTCTAACAGATTCATGCCAGAAGTTATCTTCCTCAGAGGTGTAACTAAAAGTCTAAAATAAATACCTGGCGCACTCTCTATTCTATTCAGCATTATAACCTCCCAGTGACGATTCTTTGTCTGTCTTGCAGGTCCTGATCTGCCCTCCAGTGACCAGGTTTTTCTATGGCCGTAGAGAATGCTTCCATAAACTTCTAATCCAGGGAGACTCATCGGGGAGACTCAGTATCTGGACCATACCTGATGACCTCTATGAACAGGAAAACATGGAAGGTAATGGATATTTTTGTGTTCCACAAACCAGTTTCAGGGTGTACTTGTGTACTTCAAGTGAACTACCTGGCCAGCATAAAAGGTCTGGAATTTTTTTTCTTTCTTGCAGGCAACAAAAAAAACCAGAAATGAAAGGCCAAAATGTCTGATAGGCTGTCCCCCTAGCCCTCCCCTCCCCCCGAACTTTATTTTATAAAACACAATCCACTGCCGACGGATGCAGCAGTACAGTATAAGTTGCACAATGAATTGGAGTTTCCACCACCCTCCGTGGTGCATGCACTTGTACAATTCACACAATAAACAATGTGACAGTCTGATGGCTTCTTGCATCTCTCAAGGATGTGTCCCTGTGAGATCTAAGGCACACCTAGGCACTTCAACTGGCTATCTTTAACAGGAAGTAAGGGAGTATTCTTAATTGGGACACAGACTACAATGAACCCTTGACAAAAGTTCCAACCCTTTTACACTTTCCCCAAAACTAAAAAGAAAACGGTTTCGGCTGCAGTTTCACTTTAAAGTCGATTTTACATCAAAATGTAAGGTTTGCTCATCTTATATACCCATGATTATATATCTTTATATGTCTGATATGGTCGTGTTCCCAAACTTTTGGCCATATACTATAGCATATGTGATGGGCAACTTTGTAAAGGTGACTGTGAACAGCCTATGAGGGAAACCTGAAATTGGTAAGTAACAGTGTCCTCTCTATAGACACCAGGAGAAACCTCTATCGGAGCAATTTAGGATCAGGCAAATGGATCTATTACAAATTTAAAAACCCGACTGTTCCCTATTCACAGGATCACCCCTGTTTGGCCACTTCTCTCTCTCCTTCCCCTCTCCACACCCACAGTGTGCAAACTTACTAGACTGTTATAATCCTCAGGGGGGGTCATGTTCCACCTGGACATCCAGTCACCCTTGTCTCTAGCCAGCCTTAGCCTGGACATGGTTTACTTGATAAATGCAAACGTTAATCCTGATTTTGGATTTCACTTAGGAGATTGAGGTCAATAATGAGCAGCTATAGAGGCTTTTTTTTTTTTTTTGCAGGAAAGGGGATATTTCCCCAAAATGTCTGAATTGCCTTTAAGCAGATCTCATTCTTTGCCTCTTCTGTGTAGATCCAAAGAACCATTTATGTTTCTTAAGTGTCAACTCAACCAAGGATGGCGATTGGTCCTGGTATTACGCATACGTCATAGGAATTGGCAGAGATCTTCCCAACCATTGTTCAGATATTTTCCTGTTTATGGCCAGCTTGAATACCCTGCAATGCATTCTTTGAGCACTTGGTCTTCTATTGAACAATAATAGAAATGATAGCTCCGTATCTGTTCTATATTTAGAGATGAAGAAACTACTACATTATAGGGACTCTGTTGCTAGGTGGAGAATGTGTAGCAAAGCGCCACCTGCAAAAGAAGAGCTTAACGCCTACCTGTTCCACCTTTCGTTTCTCTGATATTCACTCTTGCAGAGCAGCGGCCTCTTCCCTTTGCTGCACGCTGTGGTTGCTTTCACCAGTCCCTTGGTAACTACAGGACACACTAGTGACATAGGTGGCAGCGGAAGAAACCACAGCATGCGGCGGAGGAAGAGGGCTTTCAATAGTCCCAGAAGTGTTGGATGTGAACATCCTTCAAACAGCCGCAGCTCTTAGACAGAGCGAAGATCAAAGAGACTGGAGACAGGACAGGAGTCTCCTTTCCTTTGCAGGTCTTACTTATTTACAGCTGTTGTTTTTTTTTTTACCCAGTGGTAGTCACTTAAAAATGCTAAAAGATTTCTGTTTCTGGTAACTTGGGTTTTAGGTCAACTGACTGTAAGTCATTTTATTTTTTTACAAATATGTTTCAGGGTTAAAAATTACGATGACAACATCTCTTCAAGAGGCGTTTGACAAGCTGACTCCCCGTCCTGCTGGGATAATTGACCAGCTCAGTGTGATGCCAAATAACATCGATCCTTTGAAAGTGACCGCCAGCGTCTACATCCCATCCCACGGGCGCCTGGTTTGTGGCCGAGAAGATGGCAGCATAGTCATTGTCCCAGCCACACAGACTGCCATAGTCCAGCTGCTACAGGGGGAGCACATGCTACGGAGAGGTATTGGTGCATGCTTTATTAGTGCTGTATGGTAGCTGACAGACCTCTCTTCTGTAGTGTATATACTCACTTTGCAGGCTGGCAACAGGAAATGAGAGGACATTGGAAGAGTTTCCTTCTTTTACTGTTCAAGTGACAACTCAACAGTCCTGATTTGCTGCATTTTTGGTGTTACTTCCAGGTCCTAAATTTCATGACGAATACAGAAATCTGCATGGGTTCTACAATATAATCCTTTTTGTAGCCTGATTTAAGATGCATTTTTCTGTGATTGAACAAATATGGATGCCCCCCCCCCACCCCCCCACATAAGTAAATAATAAACAGTACATGCAAACTTTATTTTGAAAAATGTAGATCAAGGGGACCTTGTAACTGTGTCGTTGCAAAACCTACAGTGACCACTTATTACTAGTCTCTCTGGTGCTGCACTGCTGTAACTTGGATTTTAGGGTAACCTAAAACTTGACTTTCTTTCCCTGGCCAACCCTGAAAACACCCAATTCCTTTTGGTATTGTGGAGCATGTGACCTCCTCCCATCATCCAGTGCTCAAGCTTAGTGGCCAATCCCTTGGCATGAGCACGTTCAGGTAATGGCAGGTGTCATGTCACCACTCGCTCTGAGGAAGGAGTGGCAGAGAAGCACTGAACAGGTGAGTACACAGACAGTGTCACTTTCTTCTAACTGGGCAAGGTGATGGTGCTAACCATCTCTGAAACTTGTAGGCATTTCAGAGGCTTTATGAAAGGGATACTCCGATGTCAACCAGTGTCCTGCCAGTAGCCATGGAATCCTTGTGCCATTTGCATAGACTATTAGTGCCGATTTAGAGCAATGTCACTAGCACACCAAAAGTCCTTTTAGGATCACCAGGTGTTCATTCATTAATAACCATGTCAGATAAAGACTTAATTTGACATGGTTCTTAATAAATGAACACTTGGTGATTCCACTAAACGATTTATGCAGCAAGCGGCACCATCTGCAGTCACTACGAGCACCCTTCCCTGCTACTGGGATATCCGGTAAGGAGTGCAACAAGACCTTCATACTTTCCTAGCACTGCCACAACATTGCATGGCATCAGAGGCAGGTAGGGAGAGCACCTGCATCTCTCTGGAATATAGAGCTTCCAATACTCCTGGAAATTTTGAATGTGGTCAAATGGTCTGTTTCCAGCATGGTGGTGGAGCAGAGATGCTAAAGAAAGGGTGCCTGACTTATTGTATTTGAAGCTGAACCTGAACGATCCGGCAGTGGCATAAGGCTAAACCACTCATACATCTATCACTTGAACTACTGGAATGGGTGTTTCCTATGAGCTTGACGACAAAGAAAGACAGAAGATAGTATGGAAGCGACACACGTGTGATTTAAGTCATTGGCTTGTTTAGGTCTCACTCATGTAGCCTATTGTAGCATGAACTTATTTTCCTTTTTTTTTTTACCAGGCTGGCCCCCACACAGAACATTGCGTGGACACCGGAACAAGGTGACCTGCTTACTGTATCCTCATCAAGTGTCTTCTCGTTACGATCAGCGCTATCTGATATCGGGCGGAGTGGACTTCTCAGTGATTGTGTGGGACATCTTTTCTGGGGAGATGAAACATATCTTCTGTGTACATGGTGGAGAAATCACCCAACTGCTCATCCCACCAGACAGCTGCAGTGTAAGTATCCTCTGCTGAATATCTCCCCTACCTAATGATTCCAATGTATCTTCTTCTGATCCTGGGCTTATCTTTCCTTGACTTCTGGGCTAAGTCCCTCCTCCACAGCTCATCGCACCAATCCACCCTCATTAATGAGGATGCTCCTATTTGACACAGAGACATTCTAGATAGCTGGGTGAGCCTCAGAGGGGTCCATAGTTGAGTTTTTTCCGGCTAACAAAAGTTATTGCAGGCACTTTTTGTAACTCTTCCAAAGCTGGCCATACACCTATAGATTATCTGCAGATTTTCTATGGTCAGATGTGAAAAGTGCAACAGATTCCTCCATCTATGCTAAACTGTGTGTATGGAGGAAACTCCCACTGGGCCAAGCTTCTGTATCTTGCTAGTCGGCCCCGCTGGCTCTCAAAACACCTGAACAATGCCTCAATCCAATCAGATTGTTTAGGTATTTTGACAGCGACCGGAGCCGATTAGCAAGATACTGAAGCTTGGCCCAGCGGGAGATTCCTCCATACACACAGTTTAGCGTAGATGGAGGAATCTGTTGCACTTTTTCCATCTGACCATAGAAAAGCTGCAGATAATCTATAGGTGTGTGGCCAGCTTTAGGAAGCTGAACGTCAGGCAAACTGAACGTCAGGCAAACTGATAAGTGCACACGTCAAAGAATTGTATATCTGCCCATCCAGTCCTGAGATGAATGGGTCGTAAGATGGGTGGGCATCTTAAAGCCTATCTCCAGATAAATTGCTACAAATAGTTTGGTTCGATTATTGAAAAAGTTGACAACTTTTTCAATAATCGATTATAATCGATTATGTCGATTAGTTGTTGCAGCCCTAGAAATGTAATATATGAGAGCTTTTTCACCTGCAAAAGGAGTTTTTATTTTCCTCTGTCCATTTAGTCCCAATGTAAGATAGCCTTGCCAGACAGCATAGCCAGGATGGTAACCTAAGCTTTGTCTATTGCAAGTAAGCTAAACATCTAGCCCCCCCCCCACAACCCCTGCCTGTGATTGGATAGTGAAGGAGCAGCAGCATACTGATGAGCTCATCCCGCTGCTTACTCTATTTTTTCCAGTTAGCATATTTCCTTTGATGTGCATGAAGCCCCTTCATTCCTCTCCTGGTCTGAGTGATGCTTTACAGGAGTTTTACAAGAGAATTATTCCAAAGTATGTAAAGAATAAATAATTCTCTATCGTGAGCCTACACAGGGCTGACAGCTGTCTCTCTACCCCAATGAGACTTGGCCAATCAACAAGCACCAGCAATGTTGCATAAAAGGAGAGGCAGTATATTCTCCTCCATACTTGATTTGAGTATTTTATCTACTCCTTAAAGCCAAACGTTGGGAACAATTATTAACCCTTGTAGTGGGGCTACTTCGCATTTTCTTTCCCTGGCCGGAGTTCAGGTCTAAATTAACAGCTCATTGATAAGGTTTGGACAGCAGAAAACATTCTTTGTCCAAATAGTTATCACTTTACTTTGTGTAATAAAGAACTCCGGGGGAAATTATCATTAACCCTTGCAGTGGGGCTACCCCTGCACTGCAAAGGTTAAGTGCTCATTTTGGTCTATGGGGGAAAATAACAAAGTTATACTTGCCCGTTCCTCTGAGCCGGCCGTCTGTGACAGCACTTCCTCCAGCCTGCCTCCTTCTCTGCTGCAGCGATGGTATGGCCCTTGGTGTCCTCATGTCCAATACACAGTGTATTGGACGTGATGACTCCCGGAGCTTAGACTGCTACAGCGGAGGGGGAGACCTGCTGCACAGACCGGTCTAACTGCAAGTCGGCTCAGAGAATCAGTTGAATATAACTCTGTTACTTTTCTCCATAGATAAAAGCGAGCAGTTAACCCTTGCAATGCAGGGGTAGCCCCACTGCAAGGGTTAATAATAATTTCCCCCGGAGTCCTTCTTTATTACACAAAGTAAAGTGATAACCGTTTGGACAAAGAATGCTTTCTGCTTTCCAAGCCTGTAGAGGATGAGCTGTTTAATTTAAACCTGAACTCCGGCCAGGGAAAGAAAAGGGTTTTACCCCTCCACTTGCTCTCAGCCAAACTATTTTTCTTTTTTAATAAAGCTTCTATGACCTGCTCAGACCTAATTTGTGATCCTGTGATCTTCCCCCATGCCAGTTCTGGTGACTGGTCAACTGCAGCTGCTCTGTATGCCTCACACTGACATCATTCCTGCATCATAAACAATGCAGGACCGTTTTAATGAAACCGTGCTAAGCAAAATGGACAGTGTGCATGTCACCGGGAAAGGTTGCTGGATCTGGTTGCTGGACCATGGTTGAAGGGAAGTAAATAAATGGGTCATAGAAACGTTATTAATTAAAAGATCGATTATCTGTGAGTGAATGGAAACGTAAACTCTTGATTTTTTCCCCTCTCTAGTCGGAGTTTGGCTTTAATAACACACAGAGGTGACCCAACTCCGTCTCCCGCTCTGCACACAGTCTTCTCCTTTCAGAATGCCCGGCCCTCCTTTTTCTCATTCTTCGTGCCGTATCTCGTCTATTAATTAGCGGCAAACCACTGCTATCTCTTCTGCATATCCATCACTAAAACCACAGTCTCGGATAATGCAGTCAGCAGGATTTATATTTGATTATCTCAATTATTGCCTGCTATGAAGACAAAAAAATAATTACTCTAAATACCATCTCATTAAAAATAAAAGCTTTAGTTAATTCCTTATTATAAACAGCAGTGCGTCGGAAGCGGAGTCTATACCCCCCTGCATGTCACTTGTTTCATTATTTCATGTTAATAAAGAAATATGACATGGAGAATTTGGAAAAATAATTTGTCACTTTTTAATCTGTCCGACTGAGCACTCCATAATGACGGGTAATGGAGGGGGGGAGGCAGTGTCCCCCCTCTATTCCGGTAAGAGTTCTGAAATAGACAAATAATGTGACAGAATGTATGAAGTAGAATGCTTAATTATTATGAGACCAGATCAATAAATACATTTACTAAGGAGCATTTGTTTTATTTTTTTTACGTAGATGAGTAATGTGCATTATGCTTCATTTACTCGCTTTATGATCTCAAGGAATGAGGAAGGAATAGTATTTGTTATAGAATTATCTATCGCGTTCAGGACAAATGAATGTGTACATCTTCCAGAGGAAGGGGTACGTGACGTGGTATCCTTCGGTGCTTATGAATTAACTGAAGTGTGCTAGGCTGGTACTCTTTTTATTCTAGGTGTAGGTGATGTGTTTCCTGTTTCCGGTGGGAGGAGCCTATCTCTCTAATGCTGTCCTGGAAGGTTCCTAGAAACAGTTACCAGGCACGTAACTCCAATTTTCTATTCTGTTTTAAAGACCATGTTCCACTTTGTCACCTACAGGATTATTCACAAATGGGTGAGGCGTTTGGAGAAGGCAGGAGAAGTGAACAATCTAGGACAAAATAGCTGAACTGGAAAGTGAGCTGAATTGGAGAATATTTCCATATCAGCTAAATGGCCTAGCTTGTTCACTTCTCCGGCCTTCTCCAAACTCTTCACCTTTTTGTGAATAGCCCTGCTAGTGTTCTCACCTACGCATGGTAAGGGCTCCAGACTTTATGATGTGGGAAAAAACAGTCTCAGTACTTCCATGTCGATCATCAGGTGCATACAAACATACATAATGTAATGTACATAACTCCTTAGCATTGGTTATACAGTTAGTGAGAACCACACCATAACATGTCACTCACATATGTGGATGTGGGGAAGGGGGGACATAACGGTTTCTGGGTGCCAATATACTGGTTAGATGGTTTTGGTTCTTGTTGTGAATGATACCACAGGGTCTTAGTCTTAAAGGAGAACTATGAGGTGAGTGATTTCCACTCAACCTCATAGTTCGAGCCGACGTGTGACAATGAAACTGTCACATGTCGTCTCAATCGATTGGGAAGTGAGCGAACACATACCGTCGCTCGCTCACTTCTCGATCATGTCCCTGCAGAGAGCGGTGAGTGTCACTCACGGCTCCCTGCAGGGATTCCCACCCTCCCCGCTCTGATCCTCCAGCGCTGACTGGCGGAACGGACGGGGAGGGGGTGGGTACAGCTGGCTCTGCCTCTAGATAGGCAGAGCCAGCTGTCAATCACGCAATCAGTAATGCCGGGATCCGTCCCGGCTGCGGTGGTCTCAGTATACCGCGAGCTGTAGCTCGCGATATACTGAGCTTTGGGTCACTGGAGGACGCTAGTTTATTTCCTCCCGTGACCATTAGGAGAACTATGGGGAAAAACACTGACCCCATAGTTCTCTTTTAACCGTGCTGATCTCCCTACAGGTGATCTTCTGTGGGCCAGTTCCTACCAACTGATAGCTTCTGGACATAGAGGAGAAGTTCATGCTCCAAGGTTGTGATAAGATTCCTCTCCCTTGTTCCACAGATGTTGCTACCTCCTTTTATGATGTGGGAAAAAACAGTCTCAGTACTTCCATGTCGATCATCAGGTGCATACAAACATACATAATGTAATGTACATAACTCCTTAGCATTGGTTATACAGTTAGTGAGAACCACACCATAACATGTCACTCACATATGTGGATGTGGGGAAGGGGGGACATAACGGTTTCTGGGTGCCAATATACTGGTTAGATGGTTTTGGTTCTTGTTGTGAATGATACCACAGGGTCTTAGTCTTAAAGGAGAACTATGAGGTGAGTGATTTCCACTCAACCTCATAGTTCGAGCCGACGTGTGACAATGAAACTGTCACATGTCGTCTCAATCGATTGGGAAGTGAGCGAACACATACCGTCGCTCGCTCACTTCTCGATCATGTCCCTGCAGAGAGCGGTGAGTGTCACTCACGGCTCCCTGCAGGGATTCCCACCCTCCCCGCTCTGATCCTCCAGCGCTGACTGGCGGAACGGACGGGGAGGGGGTGGGTACAGCTGGCTCTGCCTCTAGATAGGCAGAGCCAGCTGTCAATCACGCAATCAGTAATGCCGGGATCCGTCCCGGCTGCGGTGGTCTCAGTATACCGCGAGCTGTAGCTCGCGATATACTGAGCTTTGGGTCACTGGAGGACGCTAGTTTATTTCCTCCCGTGACCATTAGGAGAACTATGGGGAAAAACACTGACCCCATAGTTCTCTTTTAACCGTGCTGATCTCCCTACAGGTGATCTTCTGTGGGCCAGTTCCTACCAACTGATAGTTCTGGACATAGAGGAGAAGTTCATGCTCCAAGGTTGTGATAAGATTCCTCTCCCTTGTTCCACAGATGTTGCTACCTCCTTGGATCTGGGGAGTCGGGAGCTTTCTTAGTCCTGTGGCTCAGAATGACCAGCTTTCTGCTTGGCCCATGTTTCAGTGCTCCCTTTTGTGTCACGTCATTCCTCTCTGTTCGTGACTGTTTTTTCTTGGTTGTGGGCACCATGTTTATTCTACATGTGTCCCCTCTGGCGGTTCCCCTATAAGATAGAGGGTTTGGCCTCATGTGGGGTCCAATTTGGGCATTGGTCCTTTCGGTACCTCTTGCGCTGTAAGTGTACCCCAGTTCTTTTTTTTTTTTTGATGGGCTTGTTACGGTTGTTGCTTTTTGCCTTTCCCTTAGTTGGACTGCTTTTGGACATCCTGAAAGAAGGTGGCTTCCTGTGTCCAACAATGGATGAAAGAGTTTTGTACGCTCTGTAAAATCCTTTTCTTGGAGTCCATTGCGTCACACAGATCCCACTCTTCTGTGTTTATGATCATGCTCTTGGTTTTGCAACATCATTATCATTGGATGGCCTACAGAATTTTTTTTTTTGTAGGCTAGTTTCCAATTCCCCTGTAGGTGGCAGTATAACCAACAGTAGATGATTTTGTGTATCCCTCACACACGGAAAGAAAATAATTTTATGGTTTTATGGAATACAAAAAATCCTATTTTATGGCAATAATTAAAAAAAACATTTCAAACATAAACTAAAATTAGAATATTTTTATGATGAGGCTTTTCTTCCTGACATGTCTTACATGAATGGGTGATAACTAGAAACCTAAAAAACTCTTCTACTCGTGTAGCGCAGTAGGAAGTACTTCTACTCTGATGTAGGTACACATTCCTCTTGTGGTCAGCAGGATGACGCCAAGGACCTGGGAATATGGTAGAAAATGTTTTTTGATGCACAAGTTTTCCTGGACTTGCATTAGATTGCGTTAGATTTTATGGTGAATACAAATATTTCTCTATTCTGCCACCTGCATAAATGACTAGAATTTACTGACTTTTATGCATACTATTATTTTGTGTTATTAAATAATGGTATCTCGAGTGAATGGTAATGGTATCGCAAGTAAAATGCATCAAATGCATGCAGAGGTGTGACTGGGCACATATCCTGAAGAAAACCTCTAAGCCAGGGGTAACCAAACTCTGGCCCTCCAGCTGTGGTGAAACTACAAATCCCATGATGCATCTCTGTCCGGGAGTCGTGGCTGTGAGCATCTTGCAATGCCTCATGGGATTTGTAGTTCCACCACAGCTGGAGGGCCGGAGTTTGGCTACCCCTGCTCTAAACACTACACCTGGGCTTCAGCTTGTATTTGAACACTGTGTGCAGCAAATTGATACAAGCCAGTCGTGTTGAATTTTTTTAAAAGCCCAGTTGTAGTTTTGCTTTTTGATCCAATGTGGCTTCATTTCTATAATTTATGGGCAAGATAATGATTGTCTTACTGATTGTTTATTGTGTTTTAGGTTTCCTTACCCTCAGCAGAAAACTTGTTGAGGTAAAGACCTCCTGGATGTGGGTGAGAGCAGCGGTCTCTATACAGCG